GCTGCTGGAAAAAAGGAACACACCAGAAGGCTGTAACTTGCAGAGGAACTCTACAGCAATTCAGAGAGAAGCTGGATGTCACTGACATTGGAACAAACAGCTGACCAACAAGTGCCCATCTGAAATTCAGTGTTTGTATCCTGTTGCTACAGCTCCAGCCTGTTCCTGCAGCTATGGAGTCACAGCAAGGCTTTTCCTGGTTGATGCATCTTTAATTTGATAACGAAGTATTGCACTCTAAGATTTTGCTCCTTCATCTACTTTTTAATGGAGCTAAGAAATTGTGTATGCTCTGCTCCTTTTAAAACCTGCTAGAGGAACAATCTGTATTTCAAAATGGCTGTCCAATCCTTTTTCTCTACAATCCAAAATGAAGTTTTAAGAAGAACAGGATAGGGAGTCCTTTTTTCCAGCAGTTTTGACTTCTCCAGTCCTGCACAAGATCTCTAAATAACCACATGGACTATTTTTAGGAACTGTTTTAGTTTCAGGGATAGGCTGTAGTCACAGGTCTTGTTCCATCTGCAGTTGACATGGGTGAAAAAGCTTATTGTCCCCAACTGCTTATCACCATTCCTTCCCTCTCCTCCACCTTCACAACTTCTCCCAGAATTGTTTGTGCACACACTCCTCCACACAGAGTACACATCTAATAAGAGGCTTCCTCTATTTCTTCTCATTTTGACAGAACAGGGTTAGGGAATGGTTGCACAAGAGTTTACACCAGCAGGTCTAAGACAAAGAGAAGAAGAAGCTGTTGAGACTCTCTTCATCCAACTTAGCTGCAGCCAGAGCAGACCAGGTGACAGTCCTCAAGACACCATTTTTATCAGTTTAAGAAGTTGTTTTCACATAATACTTCTCAGTACTGACCAGGTTAGGGCAAAAGCCTCACAGTTCTCCAGGCCTTGCATGGATTACTTTTTAACCCATACTAGAAGAGCAAAACAAGCCTAGGATACCCAGATGTGGAACTCTCAGCCAAACTGCCAGGTGTAAAAGTCATTTTACATGAAACTACAGGTCTCAGCAATTTGACTGCAATTGCTAGCACAAAGAGTAAGAGAAGCCATCAAGAGAACAAACATCTGCAGAAGGCAAACAACATTCAGCTTACCTGTACACAAAACCACAGCAGACAGGAGAGATGTTTGTATTTCATAATGTCTTTACAGAGACACTGATAGAGCTGAAGCAAACACAATCATTCTGAGACTAACAGCTGCCAACAAGATCAAAGACAATACAGAAGGACTGGGGTAAATAGAGAAGGAATTCATAGTTTAAAACTGTTCCTGACCTGAAGGAAGAATAAATGCTGGGTAATTTCCTGTAATAGTTCCTCTTCTACCTTCTCTGGGTAGAATTTAGCCAAAAAATGAAAGCTAATGGGGTCTTCTTTGGGGATTTCTTGATCTAAAACCTGTTTACAGATAAAATAAAATCAGCAGCAAAAATAATACATAAGTGCCTCAAGACAATATACCCAAGGAAAATCAGAAAGCAGCCAATAATCCACTTAGAACATCATTTCCAGTTTTAGAAGAAAGGGCAATGCTGAGCTTTAATCTAACAGCAGTCAGTGCACGTCGTGGTGATTGGTAGGTGATGCTCCAGGTCAAATGGGATAGAAGCAATCAGGCCAAATAATACAATTTTAGTCTCAAAATGGTACCATGTAGAATTATGAGTTGTCATGTAACATTCCTTTAGGTCCTGTGCTACAAAAAGCAAATCTTTTTCTAAGCAGACAATTGCCATGCTAGATTATATTATATTTTGTTTCCTATACCTTTTTGTCCATCTTTAACCAGGTGCACATTCCTTTTATTGTGTACTGCAAGCCAAAGAACCAACTCTCCCTTAAACCAAGTGCTCGGCACACCAGGTCAAACAAGTCCTTCCCCTTCCACTTCATCTAAAAGAGAGAAAATTAAGAAAAACATGTATGTCTTGAATGAATTTCCTGCATTTTAGTCCAGTTAGGCTTCCTTTGCCTTTCTCCTATGAACCTTTATTTCACCTTTAGCTTTTCAATGAGATGTGCCTGCTGTGTAAGAGTTACTGTGCTCCACCTCCTCTCCCTCTCCTCTAGGGACACATCCTCAGATGGAGTCATTTAACCACAGCACCAAGCACTTGAGGAGCATAGGGAATGAATATTGTACTACTGATTTCCTAGGACACAGCAAGGCTTTATGAATATTTGTAAAAAAATTTTACTCAATAGTTTAGACAAATTGGAGAGACTGAGAGAAGGCCAAGGGAAATCAAAGTAGTGTCAGGGCCCAGGGTAGTAATGCTGAACCATGAAAGCAAATCCACCTTTCACAGACCTCAGGTATTTCAGTGGCACCAGGCCAAGCCTTTATGCTGGTTGGATTTAAATAAGCAGGAGCTTGACTTCTACAGTAATTTAGTAGCCTGGCTCCATAGACAGCAAACTTGGATTAAAGGTCCCAAAGTCACACCCATGATGCTTTGGTTTTGCACCAAAAAGGCTGCACATCTGTTTCTTCTAACTACATGTTAAAAAGATGATGTTGCCTGGGTCAGCCACTAAACACTTATTGGCAAAAAAAAAATGAACTTTTAGGCAGCATTTGAATGGAAAGCTGGAAATCATTCCAGCAAAAGAGCAATATCTGGGGAGAAGGAAGAGATAGCAAAGGAAGGAATACATTAAGCTGGATTTCTTAACAAGGACTCTGATCTGTAAATCAAATTTTCCAAATCCTTTATTTTCACAACTCTTCCTGCAAGTATTCTAGATCATTAAGTCATAGAAGTGCACTGCTTGTGACTAATCTATTCTGTCTCTCAGGGACCTAATAAATGAAATACTAAATGGCCCACGAGGCAGTCAAGTCTCATTAAAATTGCCAGTCCCGTTGGACCTCAGTTTTCTAACTCCTCAAAATAACTCTATGTCTTGTTTTTCTTTTGCTGGATGAGTAGGAATTAATCAGGCACAGTTCTGTTGCCTTGATAGTGCAGCCCAATTTATTTAGCAATTGATCACTTGCTATATTTCTCTAGCCAATATAGTAGATAGGTGGCTTTTTTTTCTATTAGTTATGGCTTTCTCATTTGATTGTTTTTCCCTTCTGCCCAGAGATGTCAAACAACCACTGCAGTGAAAGAAATAAACTGGAAACTGAGAAATGAACTGAGAAATAAAATGGCAAATTTGAAGAGAATGTCCCAGATCAACTGAACACAAAAGTACCAGTTCATAAATTATTTTATAAGCAACATCTAAGCACCAAATTTGACAAGATTTCTTTTAAGGACACTGTCAGCTTGGATAGAGTTGTGTCACTTCCAAAGAAGTAATTCTATGGAGAAGAAGGAATACTTATAAACAAGTCCTGCATCACATCTGGGAATGCTGCTGAAGAAAGCAGGTCTAGTGCTAATTTAGCTGTGCCAGTCAAAGGGATTTAATGCAAATAGCTTTAAGTTCTGAACAGAGTTGTTTAACAGACAAATGCACCAGTGACTAAGTAATCCATTGCTTATAGAAATGATAGATCAGTTTTAAAACTGATGAACTGATAATCTGAACCTTCCAGATTTCTGCCTTGCTAACACAAAAGTCAGTTTTCATCTTCCCAGTATTCTGCTACCACTCTCACCTCACAGCTGAACTCCATTTCAGCATCCACTGTTATAATTTTGACTTTAAAAGTCTTTGGTTGTTTCTTCTTCAGGCCTCGGATGGACATATTTTTTAGTTTATGAGGAAAGCCACACCTGAAATAAAACATACATTACATTGAGGGATGGAAATTCAGGAACATTTTCTTGGCTAGATTACAAAGTAGGATGAGTCCAAACATGCAGAACAAAATCACCTTCAAACATGCATTTGTTGTCTAAGACAATAAGAATGTTGAAACAAAATATAGTTCAAGCTTTAAAATTCGTTTGCTCCTTAAAATAAGTTGCTCAAAAATGGCATTGCTAAACAGAAAATTCCTCCACAAGTCTTCTCTTCTGAATGGAATCGACTACATGCCATCCAAAAAATTGGTGAGAGATGCTGTTTCCACAGCCACGAGGGTTTTGTGGATACCATTCAAACCAACTGTTGAAATCTGGGGTTAAATGATAGTGTGAATCTGCACTAGGCAGTTCTCAGGTGTTTAATCCTGAGCACAGGAAATCAGTCTGTAAGGTTCTCTTCTTCTTTTTACTTTATAAATTCAACAGCTCAGACTAGCACAACCTAGTGAGTACCTGT